CACACACACACACCATTATCTACTCCACCAGATTAAGGTGGCGAACCTTAGTTCTAGAATCACCTACAAAGCCAGAAAAGGATAGATGCATCCTATAAGGATGATTCTGTTAGAAAATAATATTAACATTTTCATACAAAAACAATGATAATAAAATACAGGTGACCTTTGTTCAACTGGGATCTGGGCTTAGAATCATTGAATTGGAAGCTATCTTCAGAGCCATGTCATCAAACTCCCTCCCAGGGGAGACCCGCCTGGCCCCGTCTTGGCTGTGACAATCTCATGACTGCTCTTCAAATGAGGATATATGTTGACTAATATTGGGCCTTGTGGCATTGGTAAATATTCTGAAGTATCTGGAGTTTTTGACATTAATCCCATCCAGGCAAATAGTAGTGATAGACATAATGCCTCCTTGAAACCTCCTCCCATTTCATAAATGTTTTTTGCTGCACTATCATTAAAATCACAGACATTTTGTAAGCTATTTGTTTATAAATAATCATTTTCATCTATTCCCACCAGAGGTGGGATGTTATCATTGCTATCTTAAGGATCAGAATTCTCTTTATGAGCCTCCCTAGGTGTTAAGATTGTCAGGAGAGGCCTTTCTCTGAGTCTCACCACCTTCATAGGTGCGTTTGGTGGGGACATGAGAGAGGGCCTTCCCTGTTGCAGCTCCCAGACTCTGGAACTCCCTCCCATAGCAGGCCAGACTGGCCCCATCTTTTTGAAACCGCCAACTGCAGAGCATGGATTAGTAGATTCTCAGGGGTCAATTTCTGCCTTGGTCAGGGGTTCGGGTCAAGACACAGAAACAGAGGGACTGCAAAAACGGAGGGTGATCCCGGCTGAGGAAGATGATCAGTTCTCCAACCAGTGTATGGCCAAATACACAGAAACATCAGAAAAGACTGGCATAGCAGCAGAATTGAATTATGCAAGTCGCAACCCCTAAATGATGCAGTTAATAATTGCATGCCATCCGGCCAATGACGGTGACTGTATTTGAGGTTTTCCAGGGAGCGAGTGCTCAGAAGTGGTTTTCCCTTCCCTTCTTCCGGTGGTAGCCCTGGGACCACCGCTTAGCTGGCCCAAGGCTACTTAGGCTGGGTCTTCTGGGACGCCCAGTGGGGAATCGGAACTCCCAACCTTTGACTCAGCAGCTAGAAACCCAGCAGTAGTTACGTGTACTAATTCCTTTTCAGGTTGTGATGATCTTTCTAAAACAGTCATAATAAACATAGATACTTCATTGGTGTAATAGCAATCCGATCGGAAGAAAGGAAGACTACAAGTGACACTAAATTAATTAATCAACTAAAATAATCTCCCTTTTTTTCATTTCTTCCAAAAGTTACTTTTAGAGAGCATCTTACGTGCCTTTAAGTTGGAATGAATTGGTGGAGACCCTCATAAGACATTCAAGGTGAATGAGATATCCCACACGTGGTTTTACCACCGCCACTCCCTAATCAGTTCCCAGTCAGCCAAGAGGGGATTCAAACCCACATCTCCGGAGCCCATCATGCTCTCCACTACACTACCCTGGATACCTCTTTACAAAGTAGGCTTGCAGGCAGCTTGGTAGGGATTTCCCAAGTTTTATACCACTTTCGTATCCCGTTTCCGTTGTGAAACCATGTTATGTTGGAAGGCCAGATGTTATGCAGTGGTGCGGTAGAGGAGGAAAAAAAGATAAGCTTAAAAAACCATAACCACAAACCAATTCACCAAGCTCCTGGTCTCCATAATATGTCCTCCATCCCGTCCATCACAGAAAACCCGCCCTACAAGGGCAAGTTCTCCTTTCTTACCTGATTCGCCGCAGGCTGACCCGCCACGACCAATCCTGGGCATCGTTCGTCGTGATGCGAGACGGTCACGTTGGAAGCCCATTGGTCCACGAAGCCTTTGGGCGTGTAGACCCCACAGTCCAAGATGCTGGTTTTCTGCTCAAAATCTTCGCACACCCCGTCGCCGTCATGGAAGTAGCATCTGCTCGGTTCGTCTGCCGCAAGAGGAGAGGAAGGAAGAAGCAGAGGGTCAAGAGTGAAGCCAAGGTCATTTATCCCCACCCCTTTTTTAAAAAAGTTCAAGAGTGATGTGGGCATGTGCTGGATGAACAAATAGCAGGGAACGCTTGGAAATCAGAAACATTTCAATGGATCAATGCCTGATAGGACGAGTTGAGAGTGCATTCATATATTGTCTTGTTTGCGAGCAGTGCATTGCCATGGATTTTTCAGCAAAATGTTGGCGCATTGGCACCAAAACATAGACCACCTTCTGGAACAACTTTGGCCTGTCCATAAGTTCTGCACAGTTTGCAGCTGATCCATGGAAGACGAACTTGGATTTGGATGCAATCTTATACAGTGGTGCCTCGCTTAACGGCGATAAATCCATTCCAGAAAAATCGCCGTTAAGCAAAAACATCGTAAAGCGAAAAATAAAACCCCATTGACACGCGCTGAAACCCCTTCAATGCGTTCTAATGGGGTCAAAACTCACCATCCAGCGAAGATCCTCCATATGGCAGCCGTTTTCGCTGCCTGTCTTGCGAGGAATCCGTCCCAGAAAACAGCGGGGAGCCATTTTGTTTACCCAGCGGCCATTTTGAAACCACCAATCAGCTGTTTTAAAATCGTCATTTTGCGAAGAATCGGTTCCCGAAACAAGGAACCGATCATTGCAAAGCGAAAAAACCCCATTGAGACCATCATTTTGAAAAGATCGTCATAATGCGGTTTCGTCATAATGTGGGGCAATCGTAAAGCGAGGCACCACTGTACATCAGAGCTCCCCAACCTTGGGTAATCCAGATGTTCTTGGGTTACAATTCCCAGATATCCTGGCCAGCACAGCTCATGGCGAAGATTTCTGGGAGTTCTCATCCGAGAACGCATGGGGATCTATGGCTGGGAACCACTGCTCTGCGTAGTTGCTTCTGAGTAAGTCTCACTGCGTTCAGCAAGACTCGTTGTTAAACGGTCGTGACAAGAGCTGCAATTGCTAACCCATCACTCCTTGAGGGACCTCTACAGGAACATTGACCATCTGACATCAAGGTGCGGGAGGGGGGGATCTCTGGCCGGTAAAATGCTTGACACTACATTTTGGAAGAAGCAATGCTAAATATGGTCGGTGGGAAGGGCAGGAGAAACATCTGGAGGTCCAAAGATTTCTCCACTGCTGATGGAGCTAATTTCTGAAACTATGGACTGGTGGAAAGTCATGATTTAGCCACCGTTCTGCACCATCCCACCCAAGAAACGTTTATGGATTGGCGGATATTTCATATCTATCACTCTTTACTCCCAAAAGCTACAACCCAGACCATTGCAAAAAGAAATTTAAAAGCTGCAGATTATAAACAAAGGTTGCCATGCAAAAGTGAAATTAGGGAACCTGTAATATTAAAATGCAATTGTATGAACATCTCTTGAACTGGAGATTCATGGTGCCTTCCAAAGAAGTCAATCAAGAGTCAAAAGTTCACTTTAGTTTTTAATTTTTTTAAAAGGAGGGGAATATTTGCTTAATGCCCATTTGAACTGCCTTTTAGACCTCACATATTAACATTTCCTGTATCTATCATTAGCTACCTAAAGCCCAACCAACCAACCTGCCTTCCTCTGTTTTTCTTCTCAATACAGTGGTGCCCTGCTTGATGATTACCCCGTTAGACAATGAAATCGCCTGACGATGAGTATTTTGCGATCCCTATAGCGATCACAAAACAATGTTTGTATGGTTTTTTTTCACTTCACAACAATCGGTTCCCTGCTTCGGGAACCAATTTTTTGCTTAACGACGATTTAAAAACAGCTGATCGGCGGCTCTCAAAATGGCTCCCCGCTGTTTTGCTGACCTAATTTCGCAAGACAGGGAGTGGAAAATGGCCGCCCTATGGAGGATCTTCGCTGCAAGATCAGGTATTTCCCCCACTGAAATGCATTGACTGGTTTTCAATGCATTTCAATGGGGTTTTATTTTCGCTTGACGATGATTTCGCTTAACAGCGATTTTGCTGGAACGCATTATCGTCGTCCAGCGGGGCACCACTGTATCATCCATTTTCATGTGTGTCACATTCCTACACTTTCCGATGTCAGGACATTATTAAAAACACAATTCTTTAGAACCGGTGGCGTACGTCAGAGTCCTGAAATCTACTTTCTCCCACCCAAGGCATGAGCAATTGCACTTTTAAGAATTCTTGTTAATCATCACGTGCCACCAAGTCAATTCTGACCTATGGCGACCCTATTCCAGGGTTTTCCAGGTAGAGAAGACTCAGAAGTGGTTTCTCCTTCCCTTCTTCCTAGGGGGGGGGGGGGCCCTGGGACTTTGTGCAGCTGGCCCACGGCCACCCAGGCTGGCTCTTCTCCCTGGAGGCCCCGTGGTGGGGAATCGAACTCCCAACCTCTGGCTCCAGAGCCAGAGACCTCAACCACTGAGCTACCCAGCCAGCTTTGTTCTTTTCAGCACCCATCTGCTGCTTTCCTGCATTCGGGGTCCCGTTTGAGGCTAAGCGGCGGCAGACGCTCCATTCAAATCCAAAGAGGCAGCGCCACGAGATGCGACAGGCACATCCATCCTTCTTGAATTCAGATCTCTGTTTCAAGTGCCAAGAATGCCGCATGGGAGAAGTGGCTATTTTTAAATTGTGTGCGCGCTATGCGCCGATTCCAACTAAGTGATTCTTATTTGGTGCCTTCTCTTCCTGTGTCTCGCTCTATCCACACACAAACACAGACACACACTGCAAACCCAACCCCTACGCATGTAAAAACAAACAAGTCAACACCGAGAGACACAAAAGGGCCCTGCACCTACGCACAACGCCCGCTGCGCACGGAGGGAAAACAACCCCACAGCAGCGCTGGCAGAACTTGGCCGCCTTCGGTGGCCTCTTGCCAGCGTGAAAGAGAGAGAGAGAGAGACTCCGGGGCCCCAGCGCTGTTCTCTATTTTGTTCTTAAATGACACTTGCGAAACAGCGTTTAGCAAGGACAAGCGCTTCCAAACGCAGCAGCGCCCCAGAGACTGAGGCCTCTGTTTACCCACACTCGGCCCATATGGCGTGGGCAGAAGCCGAGGGAAAAAAAGGGGGAGAAAGCGCACGGCGAAGGAGGGGGGGAAATGAAGAGAGATGACACCAGGCTAACAAACATCCTTTTGCACCCGTCAATGAGACGCTAAGCGGAACCAGCAAGATCCCAAGTCAGAGGAAAAACAGGAGCGAGGCTTCATGGGGACAGCCTGGGTGGGTATCATGTGTGCGAGTGTGTGCGTAGAGAAATGAGAACACTCATCTCACTGTCTCTAAGAGAGCAAAACATCTGGACATCCTTGCGATTGATTAGGGCCCTTCTAGGGACCAACGTAAGGCCACCCAATTGGGGGGTTTCAACATAGGTGAGATATTTAAGGAGCGGCTTTACTCATCCCAACCCCACCTCTTGGGGGGGTTTCTCCGGTGAAGCAGGGATTCAAGATCTCCTGAGTCCTAGCCCATCCACCTTTCTGCTATACGACAAGACATAAATATTAGGTACATTCAATGATTAGGGAAAGAAAGACCTGGTTTTCCCATCTCTTCTGTGGTGGGACACAGAGCGAGCCTAGCTGGGATTCACAGTTTTCCGAAGGATGGCTAAGGATTCCCTTTCCCTCCATCCTCATTTCCTCCGGCAAAGGGGACTGAGTTGTCTTCTGCTGCCCTACATCCTGGTAGGGACGAGATGCCTGCAGCCTCTGAACTTTGCAAAACTCCAGATTTGAATTATCATCGGAACCTTGCTCTCTGGCGTTTGCTTGATTTTTTTCCCCCAGTGGTCAATTCCAGTCCCATTGCATTTGCACACTCCAAGAATCTTCTAAAGCTCTCTCCTCCCTGTCCCCCAAGAAAGTCCCTACAAACACATAAAGGACCTTCTCATCCTACAGGGGCGTTCGTGCCTCTGTGATGGTGGAACTTGGGGTGCGGTCATACCCAGAAAGAGATCGCCATTTGGCCCGCAGAGACCGAAACCACTGAGCTATCCAGCCAGTGGCAGCATCTTCCCTTTGCATACCGCGTTCTGACACCTAGTGCGTTTGGGGTGCCCAAATTGTCGAGATGAATAAATAAAAGCCACAGCGAGGAATTAGCCCCTGCCGTTTGCCAGAGGAGATCCCCTCCCGAGGAAAACCACCGGTCAATGTCATAAAAACCCAAACAGCTCCGCCATGCTGAGTCTCTTCCCAAAAATTCCCTCCTGCTAACCTCCCCCCCCCTAAAATTAGACAGCGCAAGAACACTAGGATAAATCAGATCATTGCAATTCAATTACTTAATGGCTCTCCCCTTTTTCCGCCCATCCACCCCCACGATGCTGAGTTCTAATTCCTTAATAGCACAGTTGCGGTTCAGAAACAAACCAAGTGGAGGGGCAGAATATTAACTCATGGCGGTGCAATCTTAATGATCACACTCTCTAGAGCTTTACTCCAAGTGTACTTGTGCTGGCTCTACTCACAGTGGGGAACTGAACTCCCAACCTCTTGCTCCACAGACAGAGACCTCAACCATTGAACTACATAGTACTGCACAGTGATGCCTTGCAATACGATGTTAATTCGTTCTGCGAAAATTGCTGCCATTGAACTACCTAGTACAGTGGTGCCTCGCAAGACGATGTTAATTCGTTCCGCGAAAATCGCTGTCTTGCAAAAACATTGTCTTGCGAAATGCGTTTCCCCATTGGAATGCATTGAAATCTATTTAATGCATTCCAATGGGGGAGGAATTGTCATCTTGCGAAAATCATCCATAGGAAAACTGTTTTGCAAAGCATGGACCCAGCTGTCAAAACCGTTGTCTTGTGAAAAACTGTCCCTAAAAAAACCATTTTGCGAGTTGCGGACCCAGCTGTCAAAATCATCGTCTTGCGAAAAAATGTCCTGGGGGAAAAAAAAGTCTTGCGAAGCACAGACCGAAACATCGTCTAGCAAAAATAGCCCA